CTTCCAACCTAGATGATTCTGTAATCTACCAAATTTTATGTCAAATCTGCAAGTAGCTTTAGAATGAGCAAAATGCCAACAAGCAAATCAGCTATTTAATATGCGCTCCCTCTCAAAAGCTGTTTTATTCTGCCAGATGTGGTACGGCCACAGCTAGAGCAGAACCACTCCTAGGGATGACAAGGAGCTCAGACAGAGGCTATCTATTTGTTCCAGACAACAGCAACTGCTGAGAAGCTGGATCTGTAATAGCTAGTCTTGTGGGAGAGCTCAGCAGTTCCCCACACTGATCTGATAGCAGCTACCTCAAGTACTGACCTGAACTTGGCCCCTTTTGCAACAGTCACATTATGATACTGTGCCAGATTTACTTTAGCCTGTAGAGAGTTGTCTTCCTTATTCAAAAAAAATACATAATCATAATTACAAATTAAATGATGCTGTCTGAGAGCTGATGCGCTCTGCAAAGAGTTGAGACCGAAGGACCTTGCTTTGAGTTCTTGTTCATAGAACCCTGAAGTAGTCACAATTCCCCTGCAAATAATAATAATAAAATAATATAATAAAAAAAGCCTGTGAAGGTTTACTAACAATGTGACTTTGGAGGATGCTCTGACACTAGATCATCATCTTATACAGTTGAAATCGGAACTCTGCTTGCCCTTCTCAGAAAGAGAGCAGTTTTGTCTACACGTACCTATTGATTGATCTGTGACAGCATGGAACATACTGAAGTACTGGTAAGAAAAATTTAAGAGTGAAAATCCTAGGAAGGGGGAAAAAAAAAAAAAAAAAAAAAAAAGGATGGCAGCAAATGCGAAAGGATAATTCTCCAAATAGAAGACAAAGTCTGTTCCAGTTATTTTTGTAAAGGGTTGATTGCAATTTGCATCCTGCTCAACCAGCATCTGCCATCAGCAGTGCTCAGTAGTCCTTTTATTTACTTTGTATTTTGCTTGTGAATGTTTCTTGATGACATTTCCTTCCCAAATCCTTCCTCAGTGATCGTTCACCCTTCTCCTTAATCCTGAACACACCTTGCTAAAACCTACAGGTGATTTGCAGGTTTCATTCCAACCACCACACAGTTACAAGCTCAGGTCACTTTACCAGAGTTGTCATATTGACCCCTCAGAGCGTGTTTGTAAAGAATACTTCTGGCAAAATCTACCGGGAATACGTTTGAGATATGGGGGTTCTGGGATGCAGTACGGCGTCCTGCATTGTCCTCTGTACCAAAAGAAGAACAGCAGATGGGAAGTAAGAGAGAAAACCCTTTGAATTGCACAATTTCCTTCTCCTCATTACAAACCAAGTTTACAGAGACATGTCTGGAGTTGTCAGAGAACAAAGCACTTTTGTAAGACAACCTGACAAAAATACCCTCAAATCCTACATGACGAAGGGGATGTTATTAAATGGAAACTGCACTAAGTCACCTATAAAAACAAACAAAAACACAGATTCTGATGGAAAACAGTGTTTGCATTTTCCATTCACTGTTGACAAGCAATAGCATTCCCACAGTGACTGAAATTACCAGGAAACTTTCTCCATGCTGGGCAAGCAGGGACAGAAAAGCAGCATTCTGCCAATAGCTCTGCTGCTGTTCCTGTGCAGTGTTTTTTTAAACCCTTCTTGCTTCCATGGAGTAATTAGATACAGATGTTGTTTGTGTTCATCCTTTTGCATTTTAGTCTTGCTCAAAGTATTTTGATAACTGACAAAGGGAAGTTCATATTTTATCAGCCTTTTACCATCAATTTCAAAGTGAGCCTGCGATTTATTTTCCCACAACCCCCAACATGAGGTGCGATGTACAGAGAGCTTCCTTGTCCACTCCTATTGTCTCAAAGGCCAAAGGATTCTAGCTGGAGAACAGCATCTGAGAACCTCCACAGGTTTAGCTTGAGAATCACTTCCCTAGAAATTTATACTGCCTTGAAATTGCTGTCAAGAACAGAAAACCACAGGACAATGGTAGGTGCTAGATCAGTCCTTAATAGGTAAAATAGTAAGGTATCCTCTTGAGCCACTTCCAACACTGGCTGCAAATTAGAGAGCTGGGGTTGAATTTAGGCAAATAGTGCTCACAAGTGGCCATCCAAAGAGCCTCGCTGTGGAAAGACTGCTGTGTGCCATTAGAAGGCAGCGAGGAAGGGTACTGATAGCCGAAACACAGTCCAGAACTAATTGCAATCATTTACAGTCAGGTAATAACTTAGCTGTTTATATTCATTTTAAAAGGTAGCTGAAAATGTGAACAATCCTGATATCTTACCCATATAAATGAGTTCTGCTGGTGGGCAAACATGTTTTTTTTCAAAAGGAAGGATATAGGACATAAAACCAAGAGGGGTGGGGAGGGAATAAGAAGGGGAGAATATGCAGTATTAGAAAGAATAACTGACATTATGACAGCAGGGATTTTGCTAATGTAAGCAGCATATTGTGTCAAAAGAAGATAGCAGAAATCTGTGTGCAAGTCTGCAGTTCAGCTGACTACAAGCATATGTAGTTGTAAATTCAATTTAACTATAGCTGAAAAGCCACTAAGCTTCAGGAAGCTGGGTTTAGGAATGCTAAGTGTTTATGGCCAGAAAGATTCAAAAGGACAAATTGCACCTTGATGGGAGAAGACATCACGGTGTAAGTTTTCCATTAGCTTTAATGGGACTCACATGACTAATTCTGCACACACCAAGACTGTACAGTTGAAGAAATATTACTTGTGACTGGGTTTTCCTAATAGCGATAAAAAATGTTGAAGCAAAATAAAAAGAAAAAAGGGGAAAAAAAAAAAAAAGGAATATTTTTAAGCTTCCCACATGACACGGAAACCATATTATCAAAAGAGTCAGAAGACAAAGGTAACGGACTCTGGGTTTAAATAAAGAGAATTAACTATCCTGAACAGTCACATCTATGGAAAGTCAAGTATGGAAAATGAATATAGTTTGTATTCTGAGAGAGGTGTTCTGAAAGAGCTTATTTTAAACTGCATTTCAGCTCAATTAAGTACCAGAAGTATATACCTCTTGTCAACTCTTGTGTAAACTCAGCTGCAAACAGGAGTGGTAGAGAAATAGGTGCAGAAAAACTGGCATTCTGAATAAGCCTTCCAGGTTTCTAGATCAAACCCTAATTGAGATATGCCTACCCTAAGAGTAGAGATATGCTTGGCTTTTTTCTTTTTCCTCTTTTTTTTTTTTTTTGTTGATCTCCTGGGAATTACATGCCCATCTAGAGTCAAACTGATGTTACTATTCATAGAATACCTGATATTGCTCTGCTTTGCAGAAATGAAAGCCTGAACTTGTGTTTCAAGGCATTCCTGAGCAGCCTCTCCAAGCTAGCCTATGCACCCCTCCACGCTCCACTAGATGGTTCAGGCACATGTATTTAAGGAATGAATAAGGGGTGAATGTACCAGTTGGTTGTTCCCTTTAGTGTCAGTCATTATTATATACGACTTTAACTAGTGCTAGCAGCTTAATATGGTTTAGGTTAATGAGCCATTCAGTGAGATCCAGCATTCCAGTTTGTTGGGTTGATGAATTAATCTCCACTACTTACAGCTCTTTGTTTGCACTGGAAAGCTGCCTGCTCCCAGGACAGGAGCAAGCGAGCTGTTCTGCAATGAGTGTTGTGGCTTCAGACTGCATCCCCAGAATAGTGTGTACACTCAGTAAACAGGTACTACTGAAACACACCAGCTCTTATCTATTAAACACGACAAAGTTATTCTTGCTCAAACTATATTTCTTTCAAGAAAACTTCTGAAACAGCACAATTTCAAATTCAGTACAGTATTCTTTATAGTGGGTCTCTAACTTGTTGTCCCCTGCTTCTCTCTCCTTTATTAATTCCATCCCTTTCTCATTTTATTTCTTTCCTACTGGGGAAAAAAACAAACAACAACAACAACAAAAAAAAAAACAACAGGATACAACATCACCAGAAACAACGATAAAACCCTCAAATACTTCAAACAGATCTGGTTTTGGTCTCCTTTTGTATAAGTTCAGAGAAATTGAATACTGAAAAGCTGTTACAGATGTCACAACACAAAAACACCATGGAGGTTCAAATGAGCTAAAGGGAAGGAAAGTAGAAAACTATCATAGGTGATCAGCCTTTTGGGTTGTTCGCAATAAGCTGAAAGATCTGAGAAGTTCTCAAGCTGTACAGAGAGATCTGAGGAGTTGGTAACAGACTTCCAATCAAAATCATTCCCAGCAGGCTTCCTCTTCTTCAACCTTTCACTTTTGTTCTACTTGCCAAGAACATCCTCATCCTTCATAATAGCTGATGACAAGTGTCCAGGAAGCAAAACAGACCTAGGTGGAACCATTCAGCATATATGCACTAAATAGACCCATTTTGAATGCATTGGTTAACAGTTTTGGTATACTAAGGATGCCAGCAAGCATCTTGCAAATCCCTGTATGGATAAAAGGCCAAAGAGCTGCCTCAAGCAGAGCTGTTGCTTCTCCTTCAAGCACAGGGAACTCATGCTCAAGAAGCACAGAGGCACAGTAAGCTTTAACTGGATAAATACATCCACTACAGTCATTGCTTTCACTGAGAAACCTTTTTTATTATATACATTTTTTTTTTTTTTTAGTTTTAAACCTCGTAGTAAGTTCATGTGTTTATATGTGATCAAACCTATTCTGCTACTGAGATTCCCTTTTTAGGCCTAGCCTACAGCAGAGGCCATGTTCACCAGAAGCTTATTGTCCAGAGGTTGGGAGCCAGCCTGGGTACATTATAGGCATCTGCAAAGGCAATGTTACCCAGAAGAATTGCTAGAGTTTCTGGTTTATTCTATTGCGGAACATAGAAAAATCTCTAAAAGACAGAACAAAAAAGCAGTTTTTGTTGTTTTCAATTATATATACACCAAATTGAAACTATCTAGCCTTCACATAGTTTCAGTAGGAAAAAAAAAATAATTATTAAAGCTTCTATTAGAAAGCTTTCCTTATAGCTCTTACCTGTCTCCTTCTGTTGTTACAGAGAGAAAACAGACGACACCCAAAACAACAGGTCACAGCAAGTTTCAGCTGGTCAGATAGTCAGAAGCCCAGCCCCACAGTACCCAGGGAAGGCAGCCAGGCTCAACCAGGAGAACAGATCACCAGGTAAGTTTGTGGTGACAAGACAGGTCTGAGATCAAGCTGCAAAGTGAGCCTACAAGTAAAGATCAACATATCCATGCCCTGGTATGAGCATAGCTAGGACTGAACTAGTGATGTTAGAGACTAGCACTCTAACAAGCTACAGGTGCTACCACTAAGTTGAGCTTAAATAGGGCTCCTGGGCCCGTGGGCAAAGGATACAGGTGGAGGTTCCGAGTAAGGCTGGCTAGGGCCATTAAGGCTTAAAGGGCCTCAGCACAGGGAGGAGCCTCTCTTCTTTCTCTGTGTGGCTTAGGAAAAATTTATTGTAAATACATTACTTAAATGAAAATCAAAACATTACTTTAAATGAAAGCATGATATAATTCCAAAATGAAACTTTCTCATTTGGGAACATTGTACTTAGGAATAGTAAAAAATGATATTTTGTGTGTAAAATGAAGGAGAATACAGGAAAACGTGCAACAACAATTCAGAACATCAGCTAAACAAAAAAGAATATTTGAAAAAATTGTGTCTGAAACTGGTGTTCAAATAGTAGTGTCCCTTAAGGACTATGAACTGTGAAAGGATGGGAGCCTTTTTTCAATTTATTTTGTAATATATTGTTCAAGTTGCCACAAGATGAACTTTAATTGAACTGCTAGTGAGTCTGGAGTATTTTAAGAGATATTGTAATATAGGCTGAACTTTGGATGGGGTCAGAGATAATAGAATGAATGCTGCCTGGGGCAAGGCTCTTTCTCATGGCATGAAACAATCATTCTCATGGTTCCTCTTTTTGAGTACAATTTTCTGTTCTTCCATAAAAAGGTTCTCATGAGCACAGTCAGGCTCCAAGTAAAGTCATGAAATGGAGTCACAGAGGGCAGGATTTTGGATTAAGTTAGTGACCTTTGTTCTGTGGGAGCAGGCTGCACATTTCCTGGAAGCTGTCATGGCAATTGCATAGGCAGGTTTCATCAGCCAAAATACTAAAGGCAGCAGGTTATTACTCATGCGTCTGTAGATCAATTGTGCTTTAGTGCTGCCTGGTAGTTGTTTGTTCCTATCTTATATCATCCGGGGATCATAGAAATCACATAAGAAAGAATTGACTTTGGGAAAAACAATGTATCAGTCATGGCAGCTCAGTTTTGACTTCATCCACACCAAAGGTATTTCTCATTCATAAATGAAGCAAATGGAATATAAGATGCTACTTTATCTTTCATGACTATTGAGACAAATGATGGGATTGGTCTGTTTAACTGTTGGTATCTCCACATGAACGAATTACCTGGGATCCATTTACAGTCAGTGGAAGCTTAGTCTAAGTAGTCAATAAAGTACAGGAGGCAAATTATAACACATTGATTCATGTCTAAAATAGGTTCTGGGAAAACCTGTCCTGAAAAAGACCACCTATTCCTTGCAAAGATAACTTGGTTCACTATCTCAAGTAGAAACATCCATATCGTAAAATTGAGACACATATTACTTAAACAGTCTGGCTGAGAGAATCTATTAAAGAATTTATTCCAGTAAAATATTGCCATAATCAACTGCAAAAGGTGCTGCACCTAAACTCTCAAAACTTTTCTATATAGTGCTAAGATATAAGAGATTTTGGTTTGCTTAAGTATACTATTAAAAAAAAAAAAAAAAAAAGAAAAAGAAAGAAAGAAAAGAAAAGCTCTAGGACTATTACACCATCTATGCACCTATTTAATAAACATTTTAAAATACTGACACTGTGGGAGACAATGCATGTCTCCACTTACAGCATAGAGACAATTTTCTCCCCAGAATTCAGAAGGCATTCTGACTTTGGATAGTTAGTAGGGAAAACTGTTCAAAAAAATTCTTCGGGACTAGAACAGCCTACTTGGGCATTTCATGTTTTCCAGCTGAATAACAACCTTGTGGAGTATAAAGTACATGTCTGTAGTGAATGAGAAAAAAAAATATATATAATATATATATATATCAAAGTTATAGCTTTCTTTGGAGAATGCATTTTGAATGAGATTAACACATGGAAACAGTTGGAAGCATAAAAACATTCTAAACTGCAGCCTTCACATTCTATCATTATTTATTAGACTTTATTCCCAAATATGTCCTTCCTATCTTCAGATCAGCGTAAGAATTTGGTAAGCAGAGGAATTGTAACTAGAACTGACCAGCATAAGATAATTTCATTGCAGTGAACATATTTGATTCTAGAAAAACTGTATTTTTACTGATCTTTACCAGGAAAAGACAGTTTGCTGTGCTCTTCAATTCAAATAGATGTTTGAAATTAATGTACAACATCAAGATGTCATTAGAGTGACCAGGTGTACACTGCAATAGCAGTGTAATGCCCATCCCTACATGGCATTAACTGTGAACAAAATAAATGAAGACGGTTACACATAAAACTAAAGAACAGGACGTTAAATCAAGGGAAATACATGTTCATAAAACCTTCTCTACACATGGCAATATTTTTCCTTTGGCATTGCTAAGTATCAGTACCCTGAGAAGTCAACGTATAAAAATGATCCCCTCTGGAAGACTCTCCAGCTGCCCACAGAAATCTTAACTCATTCTTAAAAGAATACTCCAAATACCACTTGAAGGATACCATTGCATGCCAAAATAATGAATCTAGAACATATACATGGGAAAATATTCTAACTTGGATGAGTGCTGTCAAACTGGAATACACAGATGAATAAGCAGCCAAATGCAGCACAGTTTTGGCTGGAGTCCAATATTAAGCAGGTGAAGTGGCATCTGAGAGCTACTCAAATTGTTCTTTTCACACCAGAAAAACAAAGATTCCTGCCTGCTCTGTTGCTGATATTTGCAAGCTCCACAAAATGTTTGTGAAATTAAAAATAAATAAATAAATACGTGCATGCACACACCACCTCTGTTTTATGCAGGTGCGCAGATGCTGTTTCATACATACACACACGAGGTCCAGCCAGGAGCTGCTCGTCCTGCTACTATTGCTGTGGCTAGAAGGTCTGAATTAGCATTGAGCTGGAATGGGGCCTAACTGCTTCTGGCAGCAAGAATCAGACAGATCTTGAAAGCTCAAGGCAGAGCCACCACTCGTTTGATACAATGTGTGTCGGTGCAAAAATCACTGCAATTTATTGGAGAAATAGATTCTTCCTGCCTATTATTTTCTCAGGATTACTTGCATTTGACACACCAGTTTGCAGTGTGTAATGATAGGAAGATATGATTCTTGCTTGTTTTTCTCCCTTTTCTTTATTTGCTAAGCTAAGGTGTAACAGAGGCAGGACTCGGGACATCATCCTAAGGGTGCTCTCTGAATAAAGACGACCTTTGGCATGCCCTGCTGAAATGCATGTCCAGGTGAGGAGCTCTCTGTTACTCAGAGTTGCTTCTGGTCTCTGACCCACTTTGGACTGCGTGCGCACCCTTTTGTTTCCTTGAGGAACCACTGTCATATGTGGTACTCCACACTGCTGGGACCTGTGCATACTCTTGTGAGATTTCAAATAGAGAAAAAAATGGTTATCCCATTTCCTTTAGTTCAAATATTTGAGTAAGTCAACATGATTCTGAAGTGGATATAGACCAAAAATCCTCACCCTATCTAGGACCCACTTCTTTAGAGGGTTCCGTGTGGATAAATCCCTGTATCTTTACATAGGGATGGATGCAACCTGACGGTGAGTATAAGGGTGTAGTGTCCTTGGCTATTTAACTCAATCTGAGGAGGGATATCAGTCCATTTCTGCCCTTTACCCTCTATCTTCTACTTTCCTTTGCAGTGCTGAAACCACTTTAAATCTCACTGCAGCACCACAGCTTTTCTAACATGTCAAAGAGAAATGAAAACAGTACAATGTCCTCTTAGAGAAGGGAATGGGCTGCAGCAGAAACTTAAGCATCTTAAGTGTACCTTGTATAAGGTACAGCTTACTTGAGCAACCTAACAGCCACAATATGGGGTAGCTCAAAGCTACTCACACAAAGAATGACATAGAAGTGACTTACTCTATTCACATCTCAAATTAAATCAGAGTTTATTTTAGTTATTTAGAACATAATTGGAATGTGGTTTTGTTAAGTTTTCTTTAAAGGACTGAGAGCTTCTAATATTTTCCCCATGGCTGAGAGACAAACTACTTAAAAAGCAAGATTTTCTAGTCAGAAAACATGTGTGTATAGAAATGCAGCTACACACAAGCCTGAGCACATTTGTATGTATTTATACATACATACGCATACACATTCATGGAAACATTTGTTAGAAGCATGAAAAATGGATTTGATTATGGAAAATTCTCAACATCTGCTGAAATTATTGAACGTCTGTAACTTCCGTTGCCTTCAAGAGGGAAATAAAGATATTCAGCAGCTGCATGTAGGATGCAGCCCACTGCCACTACTGCATAAAGCTGTAAGAAATGTGCCGATATACAGATCTCACAGCTCCTGCTCAAAGTGGTGAGAAAATCAATTCTAGACCAAAATGGCTAGAGGCAAAAGGATAAGATGAAATGTGACTGACAGAGAGACAGCATCCAGTAATGCTCAGTCAAGTGAAAAGGCAAAAGAACACAGGAATAGTAAAACCTATCCGTTTTTGTTTTAATTGGGAGGGGACACAGCAGGCAGTTTTGGTGCTCTAGGCAGTCCCTGCTACACAAAGCCTATAAATGTTAACTCTGTTCTATTCTGAAGTGAAACATGCAAAACATAGATAGGGCTCTTTATAACTAACACTGTGCTGTAGACAAATTGGACTGTGATTTCCAGTGACATTAGGGTGAAATGAGGTTGCCAAATCACGTCAGAATGAAGCAGTAATGATATATTCTTTCATGGTGCTGAAATCATTTTAGTCAGTGTCCAGTGCCTCTGCTTCTCATTGCATTTTGCCCCCCATTTCCCCATTGTTTGTAGTCTTAAGTATTGCAAATATAAACTATGTCTAAAAGTGTGAAAGGCAAGGCTTTTCCCCTCTATCTACTTCATGCTCTGTGAAGGATTGAAAGTCACAGAAAGGAGCAGGAACCTAGGATACTGGCATTATAATCTCAGCTGTACAGCTTGCTTTCTTTTTCCCCTGCTTCAGTTTACCCATCCATGAAACACATTGTCTGTGGCATCCCCTAAGGGCCCATAAGAGATTGGAGGATTTAATACAGACTAATGTGTTTGGCTGAAATAACTCCATAATTATAAACTATTGTTATTGCAAGAATCAAAGTTGAAGCATTTGAAAACCATGTGAGACAGAATTGGAGATTTTTTTTTTTTGGTAGCTTTTTTCATT